GGGGCTCAAGGGGAAACGATGGCGGGCAGGCGCCTTTTTTCGGCGGCCTGCCTGCCCGCCGCCGCTTCCCGCTTGCAGGCGCGCTTGTCCACTCTGGGGGCTCAAGTGAAAACGGGCGGCGGTCCAACGTTTCGAAAAAGGCACTCCAGGGGCTCAAGCGAGGGCCCTGTTTCGAAAAGGCGTCGTTTCAAAAGGGCCCCTGAGGTCGGGGCTCAAGGGACGGGGTCGATGCAAACGGGGATTGGTCAGTGCTCGCGGTCTTGCAGGATTCGGCGGGGCAAGGGCCGCACCGACCCGGTTTTGGGTGCAGGACCTTGTGGGGTCTTGCAGGATATTGCAGGATTCTGCGAAGCTCGACTGACCTGAGTTTGCACTCGAAGAAAAACACATAAACATAAACTTTGAGCGATCCGCGCCGATTCCGTGGATCCGCGCCTGGGCCCCCCGGCGGCGCCTCCGGCGCCGCCCCTGGCGCGCTCCGCGCGCCAGGGAGAGGGGTCCAGCGCGAATCCAAGAATTTCGCGCGGAGCGCCCAAAGTTCATCGTTATGTTTTGTTGTTTTCTGTTTCCATGCACTAGCCCGGGTCAGTGCGTCCCCGACCCCCCTTCTGGGCGGGGCCGCCGCCGGTCGGCGGCGGCGATGGCGGTGGCGTCGGCTGCAGTTCGAAGTAGATTGGCGCGCAAAGCGCGCCAGTAGCGGCACCCCGAATCAGCTTGTCTGCAAGGGCTTCTTTGTTATATAGTTCTTCCCCAAGTTGTGTTTGCATTTAGGGATTATTGTTTGTCTTCGAAGCTGAGCTCTGGTGCCTGTCCAGCCGGCTCTCCCGTTCCCTATAGTTGGCGGAGTGAAGCAATCTTGCGGCATCTTGGGATTTCATATGTGCGATATCTGCGCCCCACTTGGGCCATCTTGCTGACCGCTCGCCCTCCCCTTCAGATTCATGGGACAGGGTAAACCCTTCTCCGAGATGGGAAAGAGTAGGTTAAAATAACAAATTCGCGAAACCATCTAAGCCCAGAGGCCTGGTGGGAATAGTTCACTCCCTGAGGCGTGCAGGCATCTGTGGTGAATTGTGGCATCTCCTATTTCTCGGCGGGGGCAGCTCTCCGGCGTATTCGCCGTATAGCGTTTGCAAAGGGCGACCAATGGGCGCTTGGGTGTGAATGCGTCCCACCTTTGGGAGGCAACTGCTGGGAGGTCTTCGTCGGAAAGATATACGGAGGCTTAAGCCCCATTGGGGGGCTGTTGCGCCGGAGTGGGCCTCGGAGCAGGCGGGATTGAGCCGCACTTAGCGGTAGCGGAATCGAGCAGGATTAGGCCGGATTGAACGGGATTATAGACCGGATCGAGCCAGATTTCGGACCAGGGCAAAATCTGAATTTGATCTCCCAGGAGTTGCATCTGAACCCCCCGGGTCCAAGACAGCGCCGAGATTTATGATGTTCCAACCTACTTCAGCCTTGACCATCAGAAAGAATTTCGAGCACCATAAAAGTACCGACACTGTTTCGACACTTTCTTGGGCGCCTGACATCATTTCTGGGATGTGGTCCTTAAGCGCGATGGGAGCAAGAAAGGCCTCATCTCGGATTCTGGAAAAAATCCACATTGGGCACTTTGGAGCGCTCTTGGCCTGTCTCGGAACCCCTTGGGCTCTCCGGCAGGCTTCGAGGAAGGTTCCCGGAGCGCCCCTGGGAGCCTCAACGGCGACGCCCAGAAGAGAAACAGACGTCCCTGACCCAGAGGCGACCAGGCTGCGCCTGGGGTAGTTTTCGTTCGCGGACCTCCAGGGGCCGCCCCTTGCGCGCGAACTAGAAAATTCGCCACTTTGTTAAAAAGGGATCTTAGCACGCCTCTGGTTCGTTAGACCCGCGAATATAGTGGGCAAGTGCGAACCCCCAAGGGCCAGCACCGTCTGGGGGACGAATTCGAGGTCTCATGAGACATGTCTGGACGTTCCCAACGACGCGTCCGATGGCTCGGCAGGGAGAAGTTCTCATTGGGAAGAGGGGTGGAGAGGGATCATGACGAGGAGGGGGGGGGGGGGCGGGCTGATGCGAGGGAGAGGAGGGAGGCGCAGGAGGAGCACGAGGGGGGGGGGGCGTCCGCCCGCCAAGGAGCTGTCCCTCTCCGTGCAGGTCATCAACGGCCAGGTGCTCCGCTCGCTGCGGTCCGGGATGGCTCGGTGGAGGCCCCTCCCCCGCCTCCGCGGCGGTCTGTCGCCGATGGTGTGTGGCATCGGGGGTCAAGGGAAAGAGAGGGCGAGAGGCACGTCGCCCGACGGGGGCGCGACGCTGGTCCCGCTTCGCAGTTCGCGGCCTGGAGCAGAGTCAAGGGAGGAACACCCACCCGGACCGGACAACTGGCGTTTACGAAACGGCCCTGGGCGTTCCCAAAAGAGCCCTGCCCTGTTCGATTCCTTCCTTGGGCGCGTTTGCTGAAGGCCTCGCGTGTCGGGGGGGTATTCTCGGGGTGGATTTCCTGCCCTCTGCAGAGAGCTGCCCTCGTCCGTGATGGCCGCGCGAGAGCGCGGGTGCCGTGGTTCTTCGCTCCTCCCTGAGGCGCGAAGGGCCAAGTCGGGTGGCTAACGATGCGCACGTTTCCAAGGACGACAGTGGGAACTGGTGCCAAGAGCCTGCTAGATTTCAGTTGGGCCTGTCCCTCTGCAGGAGGAATGTTCAAAAATTGTCAAAATAGTCTGGGGACGATGTTTTGACAATTGTTTGCCATTTGGGGGCGTGCTTTGACTCTTGTGTGTCTTTCGTTCAAAATCCGCCTGTAGGGGGGCATGCCCAACCTAATGCTAGATGTTAAACAGGGGTTTCTCCTTGGGCATTTCGGATTGTGCTGATGCTGGAGTTCCCAAACCCCGAATCCATCGAGTCCTTTCTTGTTATGGTCAGGGAGCCTTGTGGAGGTATGGTGTAGCCGGATACCCACTGAGCCAACGACGTGTTCAGCGGGAATGCAGGTCTTGAGGGGAACAGTGCAAGTGGCTGCAGGTTGTTGAAAGTGTGAGTCCTACTTGCTTGCCAGCGCAGTGGAGATGAGGAGGTGGTGCTCTCCTACGTGGTTTTCTTCACGGGCCTAGCTTGAATGTATGTTAACATTTGTCCATGCCATGCGATCATGTATTTTGTCCGCGAGGCATGCGCGGAACGTGGCCAGTCGTGACTCTGTTCATGCTCTGTGGCACGCTTGAATGCGTATTTCTGCTCTTCCGCCACTTCGGAAAGCTGCGCGCACGACCTCCAGGACTAGATCGATTGTGGCATAATCGTGTCGGGGACGCTCACCCCTGGCGTTGGCTGGTCCGCATATTTCCGTTTGTGGCTAATCTTGAGTTGTCCGAGCGCGTAAGTTCGAGGCATCTATACGGGTCTCATGTATTGTTTCCGTGGACACAGGTGACGCGATGAGCAACGGGTTGGTCGAATCGTTTCATGCGTGGATTCCGCAAGCGGATTGCGCGTCTGATTTCCGTCTGTTTTTTTCTTGTTTTTTCGATTGTGGTGCAGTCCCCCAGTCTTTCAGAGCAAGTGTATGTTATAGGTGTGTGTGTATATATGTATCGTCCTGCCTTGGTGTCTGTCTATATGTTTCGTGTTGTTTCCCTCTCTCTCTTTCGATCGCGCTATCGTTCATTCTCTCTGTCTCTCTCTATATATATATATGTATACATGTATATATGTATATATATATATATGTATCCCTCTGTCCTCCCTGTCTGTACATCTACTACACACGCCTGTACATACATATATCTATACATAGATATAGATCGGCAGAACGACACATACACACACACACACCTCTATACATGTATGTATGTATGTATGTATGTATGTATGTATGTATGTATGTATGTATGTATGTATGTATGTATTGATAGATAGTGGCCTTCGGCCCATCCCGCCACCGTGCCTAAGCTGTGGGTTAGAGGCCTCTTGGATGTTCGTTTGAGTATCGTGGGAGGCCTTTCGGGGGCCTCTAGGAGGCAGTTTTGAGTCCTTTTGGGGGCCGGGGGCCTCTTGGGGACTCTTTTGGGGCCTCTTGGGGGCCTCGTCGGGCCTTTAGGGGGCATCTTGGGGCGGAAGGCTCGAATTGTCAGTTCGTGTTCCTTCTCTGGGGTCCTTGGGGCCCTCTTGGGGCCTTCTTGGGCGATCTTGCGCGCCACTTGGGCCGTTTTGGGGCCCTCTTGCAGAGTTTTTGGGGCCCTCTTGGGGGCCTCTTGGGCTGTCTTGGGGCGGTCTCGATGGGCCTCTGGGGCCATCTTGGAGCGTCGAGAGCTTGAAAACGCGACAAGCGAAAAACACGAAAAGCATAAGGTGCATCAGTGATGTTTGCCTCTTTGGGCCCTCTTGGGGGTCCTCCTTGGCCGCCTGGTCTGTCGGCAACCTCCTGCGGTGATCGCTCTTCTGTCCACTGGGTGGAAGGGGCACTCCGTCCCTCGGGGCGAGCTCATTCGCGCGGACCTCGCGCGGCTGCGCTCCATGGTGGCCGTGTGCTCTTCGATGCCAGATCCCGCGTGGTAGGAGGCATGCTCTGGTGCTCACGAGCGTGATGTGGCGCTCGCAGGCTCTCCACTGGTTGCGGCGCCTAGTTCACAGGCATGGCGTGGTGCTGAAAGGCATGTTTCGGTGTTCACTTGCGTGTTGTGGCGTTTGCAGGCTGTGGCGCTGCGCATGGGTCAGGCGGACTCATTGCCGAGGTGCCCTACTCGGAGGGCGGCGGGTCGGGGGACCGATGTCAAACGGTTTTCTGTTGAGCGGGCGTTCGACGTTGAAGGCGACGCAGGGGCCTGTTTTGGGCCCAGCGCGAAATTGATATCGAAAATGGGGTCGAAGGCATCCAGGGTCTTCCGGAAGCGGACATCGTTCACGATCGAACCATCGACGCGGTGTCGGAAACCAGCGCCGACGCCATCGCGACACGAATTTATCGTACCCAGCACAATATGGAAAACGAATATTGGGTGGCCCCCCATCTCCTCTTGCAGTCATCCCGCATAGCAAGGATATGCTCGTTGGCACTCCTTGCGTTCTGGATTACAATAGCGTTGTGGTGCACGGAGGCACTGTGGCGTGCACAGGCGCTTTTGCGCACACGGCAGCTGCAGTTCACACAGGCTTCGCGGTACACACAGGCGACGTAGTGATGCGGTGCACGCGGTTGTTGTGGTGTATGGGGGGCATTGTGGTGTACACACGCGGCGTTGTGTTACACGCAGGCATTGGGCCTTGTCGTGTGCGCAAAGATTGTGGCGCACGCAGGCGATTGATGCGCTGGTGGCGCGGACGCACCCAGGCGGGTGCATGCCGTGGCCGCCGTTCCCGTTACTGGATCACGGGGCATCCCAAAGCAGAGTGTGACCCCCAGCCGAGTCCGCAAGACCAGAGGATGCGAAATAATACGTGAGTCCGCATTTCAGTGAGAAGATTACTCAGGCTTGTCTTTTCTTGAGTCCATATCGCCAGTCGCAATGATTTTCCCCGCATAGTGTTTGCCGCTTCGCGCGTGCGACTGCCGTTCTATTCGGAATTCGCTACGATCATCGGGGGATTGAAATTCGAAAATCGCATGTCCAGCTGTACCTTTCTTTTCAGAAGTGCGCAGCGTCACTTTTCAGAGGTGATGACGATCAACTGCATTTCGCACCTTTTCATTACAAAGTAATCAAAGGCAAGAGCCTTCCAGATATTTATTTGTGCAGACTTGTGGATCTCATCCTGTAATTGTCAGGGGTATCCTGTTGCAAGCGAAGGTAAGACCGTTTGCCCACCCACATTCGTGCCAAGCGCTTTCCCGTTGCAGCGCAGCTAGCGCCATAGACAGGCTAATTTGCGCCCGGTAGCTTTTGGTACCAATAGTGCCGCGCAGGATTATTGAGATTATTGTCTCGTCTCTACTGCATCCGCTTTTGTCTGAACCACCTGTTTCCCCGCTGCCAGAGCTGCCCAAACTGTTCAGGGCCCTTGGTCATTACAGCTACGCTTCCTCGCCGCGCGGGCGCAACAAGAACGATCAGCGATCTTCCACATCACAGCTGGCGCATATCACGGAAAGCCTCTCCCCTCTTCTCCCTTTACCCGTGGCCGAGCGGCACATTCATGTTTCCTCTGTTCGCCCTTGCCCCTCCCCGCCCCAAACACCACGCGGCGGGGCTGGCGCGCCCTTTGCTTGCAAGGCAGAGGTCGGAGCTCGTCGAGCAGGAACGTCAGCGACCCGACCTCGCCCTCGACGGCGGACGGCGACAGCTGCGGCGGCGCGACCCCAAGGGCGATGGCGACGGCGACGGCGACGACGAGGGGGATGGGGGGGACGAGGATGGCGAGGTGGACGAGGAGGGGTTTCGCGGACGACATGGTAGACGACGGCGGGAACAAGTGGACGACGATGACGACGACGGAGAGGGGCTGGAGGAGTGATGGGGGAACAGGAAGGGGTGCGAGGGCTGGGTAAAGGATGGGGGGCGGGGGGTCCTCTGAGGAGGACGAGGGGACGCATCCGGCGGGGGGGGGGCGCACATGAGGCGAAGGAGGAGGATGAGGAGAAGGAGGAGGAGGAGGAGGAGGAGAAGAATGGGAAGATATACAATGGTGGTACCATGAGACGAAGATGGGCAGGGGGAAACGGTGGGGCGGTGGACGTGGCTGCTGGGGCGCGCTGCCGTTGGTCTGCTGTTGCTGCCGTTGCGCTTCACCGTCGCCCTGGTGCGGCCAGGGTGGTTGTGGGGTTCCTCGCGTGCCCCGTGGGGCGAGGCTGAAGTGAGAGGGGGTGCAGGGGATGGAGGAGGAGGAGGAGGAGGAGGAGGAGGAGGAGGAGGAGGAGGAGGAGGAGGAGGGGGGTGGGGAGGACTTAGAGGAACAGCAGGAGGAGGAGGACGAAGGAACACACTTGAGGGCAAAGGTGGTGAGGGATGGCGAGGAGGAGCATAAGCGGGAGCAGGAGGATGAGTCACGAGAAGGGAGGAGAGGTTGCGAGGAGCAGGGGTGTGTGGAGATGCAGCGTAGTGGGGCGAGGAGATGCGAACGCAATCGCGACAACGAGGATGACGGCGGCGACACGGTGGCGACGACGACGACGGCGGTTGCGGCACCGAAGTCCATTCAAAGTCAGTCCTTCAAGCCCCTCTGGGTTCGTCCTGGACAGTTTTACCCTTGGGTTATTAGTTGTCGGCCCCGAGCCCCAGAACTGGCCTCCAGTGGCTGAACGTTGCGAGACATTCGCTCGAGTCTGGATGGCGACCGTGGCGGCGACGACGGCGGTGGCGACGGCGGTGGCGACGGCGGCAACGACGCCCGCACGCGACGGCGATGGCGCCCGCTGGTGACGGCGGCGACGACGCCCGCGAGCGACGGCGGCGGCGGCGTCGACGGTTCCGTCGGCGGAGGCGTCGACGGCGGCGACAGCGACGGTGGCGGCTGCGCGCCGCGCCGAGGAGCGCCGGACGGCGGCACGGGGGCGCCGCGCCAGGCAGGCGCGGCAGAGCCGCGCGCTGCGGCGCTGGGCGGACGGCGCGCGTGGGCGGCTGGAGCTCGGCCGCCGGAACCAGGAAGACCGCGGGGGTCAATGTTGGGTCAGCCAGAGCGCCCGATATTGCAGGATCCTGCTTGGGTGCAGGATCCTGCAGGATCTGGCAGAATCCTTCGCATTGACCCGGTCTTGGGCGCAGGATCTTGCAGGATCTCGCAGGATTCTGTAAGGCCTGACTGACCCGAGGGGCCGCTCGCGGCAGCATTGGCATTTTGTAATATAGCAGTGCGGTGTGCCTTCTTCCGTGTGCGTCCTTGGCTCAAGGTCTCGAGGGGAAAAGCCTTCGGCTGAAGCACGCTCAGCCGGCGGAGGTGCACCCACAGCACAAACAGGAGAGTTTGACATTCTACAGTTGAGTCCTCGACTGGAGCTCGGCAGCCGGAACCACGACGGCCGCGGGGATCAGCCGGCAGGTAATTGATGAGCGAGCAACACACACACACGCACCCATACCCAGAAGGGGGTCAGAGGGAGGAGGACTGGTCATGTGTATGGGTGCGGGCTGTTGGATCCCAAGGGAGGCTCCCGTTCGAGCGGGGACCCCATCCGACAGCACGCTCCCATGGCCCCTTCTATCCCTCCTAAAGGTAATGTGTGTATGTTGCCCGTTAGTCAGGGAAAGGGGTTCGGTACAAACGGGGCTCAGACAGAGCGCCAGATCCTGCAGGATCCTGGAAGGCCAGAGTTGGGCCGAGCTGGGTCTGGGAGCCGTCCGCGTCCTTGGAGGTGACCTCGCATATTGAGTGAGTCGGATGTGGGAAGCCCCAAACAAACAATGCAGCGCATTTTGTTCCTGATTGGCTGAGCCAGGTTTGCACTGAGCGGGGCACGCCAGGAGGACGATCGAAAGGCCGAGTGTTTGATGCTCCTTGAGGGCAGGAGGCGCGCGATGACGATTGGAGCCAGGACGATTCTCGCGACCTGACGATGGAGGAGGGGGTGAAGGAGGTGGAGGAGGAGGAGGAGGAGGAGGAGGAGGAGGAGGAGGGGGAAGGCGAAGGGGAGGGGGAGGAGGAGGGGGAGGAGGAGGAGGAAGGAGGAGGTGCGAGGTGCGAGCTATCCCACGTGGTGGTCTGAACGAACTGTGAGCGGAGGAGGAGGAGGAGGTGGAGGATCGAGGACGCAACAGCCTAGATGCTTATGTTTGGCCAACGCAAAAAAGAAGGAGGATCGTCATTGTGGTGGTGTGTTCACTTCTCTATCCATTCTTCGCACGTCCGTTGGGACTCTGGACGCCCCCAGAGGCTGATCCAGGAACCTCCAGAGACCTCGGGAGGGCGCTCGCAGGACAGGCCCTTGCCCACGTGACGATTGCGGAGCAGGGAGAATCGCAGAACTATGCAGGTTTCAGGGCGTTGTTGTGCCGGTTTTGGCCTCAGGGGGGTCTTCTCGTGGCCACGGCACGTGGGGGCGGATGGTGGACTTCGGTCCTCGCTTGTCCCAGCGACGTGAGGATGCTGTTTTGCCTCTCTTGGGTATCCTTGTGAGGCCCCGTGCCCACCCAGAGCCGTCTTGAGGCCCCTTGGCCATATAGTAGCTCTTCTGCAGACCCCTTGGAGCTATTGGAGGCTCTTCGGATGGTGTCTTGGGCATTTTGGAGGCGTCGGGAGTTGCATCTTGGATTTTGAGGCTCTGTCGGCCCGGGAGGTGCGATCAGGAGTCTGTTCAATGGACCTGGACCCGTGGCCTTGCCCGTCCGCGTTAGTTTTGCAAACTGACCCGGGGCCCGGCCCGAAAGCCAACCGAAGGGAAGTGGGGCTCCTCCTCCTCCTATTCCTCCTACTCCCTCCTCCTCCTCCTCCTCCTCCTCCTCCTCCTCCTCCTCCCGGTCACCGTATTGAAAGTAGGCCACGGAGGCGACCCAAGCGTTTTAGGCCGCCAGCTCGGCCCATCCCTGATGAAATTGAGCAGTCGGCCCACAGACGGCATGTTTTTGCCCCCGTGCCCCAAGAGGAGCATTTGGAGGTGTTTGTTTTGCAAGAAGGGTTCTCAGCACGAGGAGACCCGTCGCCGTCTCTCTCTAAATGCTTGCCCTGCCGGGGCTCAGGGTTTCGAGGGTCACGGTGCTGATCCCCCTGACGCCGCGCGCCATGTTGGCGATCAGGGCGGACTGGTTGGCAACAGGGACTTGCCACCCAGCGCCGAGGGCCTCGAACCTCACGCTGCTCTGCCTGCTTCCCCTCCCTCTGTCTTTGTTCGCTCGATTCGTAGTCGGACGAGGTCTCCCACCCCCCCGCTCACCGTTTGCGAAAGTGGTCCCGTGACTGTGTGTTCCCCCCAGCCCTGTCAGGGAAGGCAACTGCCGTCGACGCAGTGAGTCGCAGGACACCTAACGCAACGTGAGGCGGAGGGTCGGCTTTGAACCCGTATCTTCTCTTAGGGAAGACATTGGCATGGTGCAGTCTAGAGCACTAGCCGATCTGGGCAGTCTTGTCATACCTCCTTGGTCGGGTCCTGCCTTTCGCCCTGACGAGAGGAGGTGAGTAGGATCTCATCGGCCCAGGCCCTCCCTCGGAAGCATCACCATCCCAGCTGGGGCCCTGCCGCCAAATGGTCGCGTCCCCTCACAGGCCGCCAGGGGCCATCGGCTTGGGTGGCCCCTGGGAAGGTTTGCCTCTGTGTGTCTTGTGTTTTTTTTCACCGCGGGAACGGCGGGTCAGCTCCTTGTTGATTGCCTTTCCTCTAACCCTGGTCACCAGCTGAGCGAAAGGGCCCAGAGGAACCGCCGACTTCTTCTCTCGGGATTTCATCCCTCGGACGAGGCGCGGGAGGACTCCGAGCGAGTCCCAGCGCCTCGACTCCTTCGTGGTGATGCCCCTGAAGTTTTACGGGTCAGGCTCCTGAGGAGCCAACCGTCTAACAGTGGAGTTGGAGGTCAGTAGCCGCGAGAGAGGAGCACCCTCATTGGTGTGCTCCCCGCGGCTCACTCACTTTTCCTAAGCCCTCAACCCACCGTGCTGTGCCTGGGGCCTGCCGCCCGAGATCTATCTCGGTGGGGTGGCTGGTCGCCTTTCAGGCGCCTGGGGACGGCGCACTGCCGCCCTCGCCTATACGTGTCGGGAAGTGTACCGCGCGCCCGCTCCAGCTAGTGTCGTATCCTCCTCCACCTCCTCCTCGTCCTCGTCCTCGTCGTCGTCCTCCTCCTCTTCCTCCTCCTCTTCTTTCTCCTCACTCCTCCCTCCTACTTTCCCTCATCCCTCCCGCATTCTTCCCTGGCGTGTTCACCGGTTCACCTCCCCGTCGCGGCCCTGATTCTTCTCCCCTGCCCGCTGTACTGCTGCTGCTGCTCCAGGCCGATCCGCGATCCTGACTATCCGAGCCCAGGTCGAATCCCTCAGAGCGCATTCAGCGGAGCGTCGGGTAGGGTTTCTCATTGTAGCCGACATGGCCGCAGTGTCCCTAACTCCGGGACTACGCCCTGTTGAGCCGGGGTTGGCAAGACTCTTTCTCCGAACGACGAGGAGGAGAAGGATGACCAGGAGGAGCAGGAGGACGACGAGAGGAAGTAGGAGCAGCAGGCGGCCGAGGAAGAAGGGGTGGGGCGCGCGGCACCGCCCAAAGCTAGCTCGTCGGTCGCCGTCGCTGTCGCCGCCGCGCGGATTGTGTCGGCGATGACGCGCCGCGGCCGCCGACGGCGCGTCGTCGCCGCCGTTGCCGCCACGTTGCGGCCGCCGTCAGCGCGGCCCTCCGCGACCGCGTTTCCGGCGCGGCGGTGTCGACGACGGCGAGGGGGCGTCGCTCGGGTGCATCGCGGGGGGTACGCTCGGGGGGAGGCATCGAGCCCCGATCATCGCGCAGACTGCTCGCTGGCAGGAGGCCCGACAGCCCCGCCCCGCCAAGGAGCGTGAGGAATCGCGCTCGGGGGCCCATCGCCGATTCGATTCATCGGCGACGCACCGCCGGCTCTGGGCCGATGCCGTCCCCCCGGGCGCTGCGGCGCTGGGCGGACAGCGCGCGGGGGCGGCTGGAGCTCGGCCGCCGGGACCGGGAAGGCCGCGGGGGTCGTTCGCGGCAGCAGTGGTATTTTGTCATATGGCAGTGCGGCGTGTCTTCTTCCGTGCGCGTCCTCGGCTCGAGGTCTCGAGGGGAAGAGCCTTCGGCTGAAGCACGCTCAGCCGGCGGAGGTGCACCCACAGCACAAACAGGAGAGTCTGACGGGTTCTGTCCGATCCCGCTTCCTCGGCGACGCACCGCCGCCTCTGGGTCGATGCCTCCCCCCCCCTCTCCTGTCGTTGTCCCGCACAGAGGGCGCCGTGCACGTCAGAGGTGCACGGGCAGGAAAAGTGGCGCCGACGCGACGGCAGCCGAACGCCGCGAAACACTTCGAACACCCTGTCGTCGCCAACTCGGTGGGCAGGGCGTGTCTGACAACTTGCACATGCACATCCCCCCCCCGCCATGAGGCCCCCCAAGGTGCCCCGCAGGCGTCGTCAATGCCCCCGCTGCGCTGCCCCGCAGTCTTAGGTCGGGCATGTCCCTCTGCAGGAGGAAAATTCAATCATAGTCAAAACATAGTGAGGGGACGATTTTTCGAGTACTTGTTTGATCATTATTGAGTGTTGTTTGACTATGTTGAATGTTTCGTCCAAACTCCGCCTCTAGGGGGACATGCCCGATCTAACCGCAGTCTGACGTCCTCGCCGTCGCCGCCCCGTCGCGGCCGCGCCGCAGGAGCGCCGCCGCGCCTCCTCCGAGCGCGCGCGGCGCGCCGCGCTGGCGTGGTGGACGGCCTCGTCGCAGGCGCGCGGCGGGCGGCGGCGGCAGCTCCTCGTGAGGCCGGGGCGCGCGCGGCGCATGCGGCGGCGGGAGGGTGCGGAGTCGAGGATCGAGGCGCCGGGGGATGGGGGGAGGGAGGAGGGTCGAGGTCGGGGGTCGGGGGGAGGAGGGAGGAGGAGGGAAGATCGAGGGGGGGAGGGTCGGGGGGAGAGGAGACAGGGGGAGAGGAGGTCGAGGACGGGGAGCGAGGTGGATGGGGGATGGGGGGTGGGGAGAGGGGAGAGAAGATCGAGGATGTGGGTCCAGGGGAGGAGGCTGGGGCTGGCGCGCGGGGAGGGGATGGGAGTCGAGGATCGAGGCGTCCAGAGTGGAGGGGAGTCAAGGGAGGAATCACCACCCAGATCGGACAATTGGCGTTCACTGAACGGCCCTGGGCGTTTACTAAACAGCCCTGCCCTGTTTGATTTTTTCTTTGGGTGCGTTTACTAAACTGCTTCGCTCTGCCCTCTAGGGAGGGGAGCGGGGGAAGGCCAGAGGAGGGCGATTTGAGACATCGGCGGGGCGCAGCTGGGAAAATTGGTGCGTTTGGACCCTGTCGAAGAAGAACAAGCGCCATAAACAAAAACTTTTGGCGCTCCGCGCGGGTCAACTGGGTCTGCGCTGGGACCCCCCTGGCGGCGCCTCCGGCGCCGCCCCTGACGCGCTCCGCGAGCCAGGGAGGGGGTCCCAGCGCAGATCCCAGAAATCCGCGCGGACCGTCAAACATTTGTGCGATTGTGCTGTTTGTTATTCCTCTACCCTGGGGGGGGGGTCTGGGGTCCGATTCTGAGCTGTCGCAATTCGCCCTGCAGAAGAAGAAAGGGGAATCGAGGTCAGGGGAGGGGGAGGGAAGAGGATGTGGGGAGGGTCGAGGGCCGAGGTGTTTGGAGGCCCTGGGCCATCGGGTGGGCCTCTGGATGCGTCCGGTTGGCCTGCAGGGTTGGCCTGCAGGGACATCGCGCGGCGGCAGCTGCTCGCGCGCGGGCGGTGGGGTGGGTCGAGGCTACAGGATCACGTCTTCTGGAACGTTCTGGGGGGAGGTGTTGTGAGCTCTCGTGGAGCGGTCTCGTCGCCAGGGCTGGATCTTGTGAAGTGCTGCTCCATGTTTCCACGGATCCCTCTCCCTCTTGCCTCCCCCTCTCTTTCTCTCCCCTTCCTCCCCCGCAACATCCCGCATCCCTCAGCCTCGGGGGCCTTTGGAGCCGTCTTCGGCCGATCTGGGCCCGAGAAGGCGAACACCCAAGACGCCATGGAAAACCTATGGTTCTCGGGCCGTCTGGGAGGTCCTCTGGCCCCTCCCCCTCCATCCCTCGCTCCCAATACCGACGTTTCTGTCTTGTTTCGGGCTTCGTCGGGAGGACGAAGGCCAGGTTGCTGCGCTTGGGGCGCGCCGGCGCGGGGAGGCGATTTCTCCGCCGTCGGATGCAGAATCCGTGGCTTCAGGCTCCGAAGAGGGATCTTTTTGAGGCATCCTTTGTTTTCTGGCCGTGGACGGCCCCGCCGAGGCGCATTCGTAGCAGGTATTGACGTCGCCGACGCATCGCCGATGCATCGGCCACGCGGTGCAGCTTTTTGATTCCATCGGGGCCGCCGCCCCCATGCGGGCGGCGGGCGCTCGCCCGTAGGGCCGAGCATTTTCTTTGGGTGGAGGGCAAAGGGTGAAATCTGAAATGCCGTTTCGATTCAGTTTCGAGGATTGAATGTGCACTAGGTGAATCACAAGAAGGATTGGTTTTCGAGATGCGAAAGCCCATTTGGATTTCACCCTGAGTCCTCCACCTTGAGGAAATGCTCAGGCAGGGGGCGCAGCCGGTGCCGGCTCGATCCCCGAGGGCCCCGCAGCCCAGGAGTTGCCCTCCTCCGCGGGGGCCGCACCCTCTCCTCGTCGGAGATCTGTGTCCGTCCTGGCTTTTCCAATGCGCTGGTCGGGGGCAAAATAATGCTCGATCCCGTGAGGTCCCGAGGTCGCCGAAGCCAAGAATCAGAGGCGACAATAGGGGCGAATAGCCCAGGAGGGAGCAATACATGTATCCAGGGGCGCCGATGATCTATGTCTTCGGCGAGGCTCCCCGGCAAATACGTGTAATGCCCGCCCCTGGGCTATTCGCCCTTCACGTCGCCGCCGAGAGGTCCCGAGGTCGCCGAAGCCAAGAAGTGGCCGTCGTGGCCTTGTTGCCCCCCGCCCACCCTCGGAGCGCACGCGAGCCGCTGCGCTCCGGGGCCCCTGCCCCTGCCAGGGACCTCCAGGCGGACGGGGCCGCCAAGCTGTCCGCCGTGAGGAGGCCTGCCAGTCCTGGGCGGCGGGGGCGTCGTCAGCCGCGTCGGCTGTCGTCGCCCTCGCCGTCGAGGCCCTCCTCCTCCTCCCTCTCCTCCTCGTCGTCGTCCTCCTCGTCGTCCTCCTCCTCCTCCTCCTCGTCCTCCTCCTCCTCCTCCTCCTCCTCCTCCTCCCTTCTCCTCCTCCTCCTCCTCCTCCTCCTCCTCCTCCTCCTCCCCTCCCTCCCTCTCTTCCTCCTCCTCCTCCCCCTCCTCCCCCTCCTCCTCCTCCTCCTCCCCCTCCTCCTCCTCCTCCTCCTCCCCTCCTCCTCCTCCTCCTCCTCCTCCTCCTCCTCCTCCTCCTCCCCTCCTCCTCCTCCTCCTCCTCCTCCTCCTCCTCCTCCTCCTCCCTCCTCCTCCCCCTCCTCCTCCTCCCTCCTCCTCCTCCTCTCCTCTCCCCTCCCCTCCTCCTCCTCCTCCTCCCCTCCTCCTCCTCCTCCTCCCCCTCCTCCTCCTCCTCCTCCTCCTCTCTCCTCATCCTCATCCTCATCCTCATCCTCATCCTCATCCTCCTCCCCCTCCCTGTCTCGGGGCCCTCCTGCCCCCAACTCCCGGGCCGATCGCGCCTGCCGCTCCCGTGTCCCCCTCCTCTTCCGCCTCCGCTTCCGCATGTGCTCTCAACGGCACACCACACACGGATCGTCCCGATGGGGGTGCGTCGACAGAGCGTTCTTTGTGTTTGTCATCATCCTCGGCGTCGTCTTAGGTGGCGCCGTCGTCGTCGCCGCCGCCGTCGTCGCAGGAGGAGGAGGAGGGGGCAGGGGGAGGAGGAGGGAGTAAGTGCGCCGTGTGCTCTGAAAGAGCATGATTGACGGGCGCACCGAGCGATCTGACTGAACGATTCCTCCATGCAACAGCCAGGTACAGGAGAGATTGATACCCACGTCCTTTCTTACGCTTTCACTTAAATCTAGTTTTACCTAGCAACGGTAACGTGACAGGCGGCCGCAGTGATGGCAGCCGCAGCAGACTCCTCAGCTAATGGCAACAAGTCGTGACAGTGCAGCGATAGGCGTTGGACACGCTATGATTGGAATAATCAGGGCACACACAGACATGGGCATCGAGGTCCTGGTCCTCTACGGGGTGCAAGAGATGAGATTCGGTCTTCTGGAGGCCCTCTGATGGTTCTCTTGGGGCTCTTTCGCGGCCATCTTGGGGTCCCCTTTGGACTACTTGGGAGGGTCTTGGGGTCCTCTTAGGGGCTCTTCTAGAGGAGTTTTGGGGCTCTCTTGGAGCCCTTTCGGGGGCCTCTTGGGAGCCCTGCAGGGCCTCTTGGGGCCATCTTGGAAGGCGTCGATCAAGAGAGGGGGGTTCCCCCGACTTACCCCCCCTCCTCCCTCTTGGGTCATCACCATCGCCTCTGAGGGCCCTCTGGGGGCGCCCCTGGGGCGCCCTTAGGCGGCCTCCTTGGGGGCCTTTTGGGCTGCTTTTGGGGCTCCCTTGGGCTGTCTTGGGGCACCTCGAGGCATCAAGACCGCACTGGAACGGCGAAAGTGCCAACAACACTGATTTGCATACCCCTCCCCGAAAGAAAGGGAAGTGGGTAGTTCGTTAGACCACCGACGCCCAGAGGGCTGGTGGGATTATCATGATGACAGCGGCTGCTATCGCAGCACGTAACCACCTCTAGCGCCATGAATGCACTCAACCATCCTCGAGCAGCGGATCAGACTCGGTCGATCTAGTGGCATTCGGTCCGTCCCGAAGTTGTGCCTGGGTTGTGGACCGGAGTTCTCTTGAATGCCTTTTGGGGTCCCTCTTGGTGGCCTCTTGGACACCTCTTCGGGCGTCTTGGGCGCCTCTTGGGGACATCTTGCGTGCCCAGGGGGGGGATGCATGTTTGGGGCTCCATCTCGGTCTGGGGGTCACCCTGGAACTAGAGGTCCTCTTGCCAAATCGTGTTTCCCACTCGGACAGGGCCATTGGACAATGTTGCTCGATGATTTTTGAGTCCTGGAAAATTCATGCCGAACACCCTGGGAACGCCCGAGCTAGCCTAGAATTCGTTGCCCTGGACCATTGTTCAGCATTGGTAATATTCAATATTTGTTCCAGGCGAGCTTCCGACCGGAAGCGCTCTCAGAAAACCTTGTAAGGTTTTATGTTCGGATTTCCGAAAAATTCTGGGGTGGGAGGTTTGGTTGTGAGTCTCTTGTACATTATCAGGAAGTTCTTCGGAAGTCATACAGACATGTTGCAGAGATTGGTTGATCAATTTTCCAGGCGGGGAAGTATCGTACAATTATCAGGTAAGTCTCCGGCAATTATAAATAAGGACTTCGCCCCAGGCCGCCAGCCCCCTGTCTCGGATAATGGGAGGTGCAAAAGCTATATCGTGAGGTCTGGGCGCCGCCGTGAAGCAGTGTCGGGACTTGTTTGTTTTTCGACCCTGACCCAACGGATCTACGTGAGGGGTGCCACCGGATTTCAGAAATGTTGCAAAACCCTTGTGTTTTTGGACCCTGACCCTCCGGATCTGCGTGAGGGTTGCCGCCGAATTTCAGAAATGTAGCAAATCTCTATGTTTTTGGACCCTGACCCTGTCGATCCGCGTGAGGGGTGCCACCGAATTGCAGAAATGTTGAGAATCCCCTGGGTTTTCGGACCCTGGCCCCGCCGATATGCGTGAGGGGGGCCATCGAATTTCAGACATGTGGCAAATCCCATGTGTTGTTTGACCCTGACCCCGCCGATCTGCGTGAGGGGTGCCACCGAATTTCAGAAATGTGGCAAATCCCTTGTGTTTTTGGACCCTGACCCCGCCGATCTGCGTGAGGGGTGCCGCCGAATTTCAAACATGTGGCAAATTTCTTGTGTTTTTGGACCCTGACCCTGTCGATCCGCGTGAGGGGTGCAACCGAATTTGCAGAAATGTTGAGACTCCCTTGGGTTTTCGGACCCTGACCCCGCCGATATGCGTGAGGGGTGTCATCGAATTCCAAACATGTGGCAAATCCCCTGTGTTTTCGGATCCTGACCCCGCCGATCTGCGTGAGGGGTGCCACCGAATTTCAGAAATGTGGCAAATCCCTGGTGTTTTTGAACCCTGACCCCGCCGATCTGCGTGAGGGGTGTCACGTTTTAACTACCCCAGCAATTCAGAGCACACGCTTAGGGCGTGCTAAACCTGCCCGTTTGGGCCTCCCCCCCTCGCGCGGTCCATCAACAAGGAACAGTGAGCAGCAAGAAGCAAATTTGCAACAGTGGAAATTGAAAGCTGCAATTGGTACAGGAAATTGCGAAGCTTCGGACTACAGCCTGGTGGCCCCACAAGGGGGCCGGCGGATTTGGGAAGTTAATTTTGCGGTACAGCCAGTGGATACAGATGTTGTAGAGCATCGGAAGTTGTCGTTTGAAAATCTTGGCCTGTCTGGGTCTCCGCCCATCATATGTCAATGCAGAGAGTTCGAAGGGACCTGAGGACGTTCGATTCAGTGCCTAATTCACGTTGGCGGGTCATTAGACACAGGTCAGTCAGCGTAACAAACGGCGTTCATTGTTACGCAAATATGTCGCACAACCACCAGAGCACGATGGAGGAGGGAGAAGGATAAAGGGTTAAGCCACAGGGAAGAGCATGGAGGAGGAGAAGTGGGAGAGGGAGGAAGAGCAGGAGGAGCGGTGATGGATGAGTTGGAGGGGAGGAAGACGGAACTAATTAGGTTGGGTGAGGTATGAGTGTGGATGCAGAGGATCAGGGAGCATGGAAAGGGGGGGGGGCCTACCTGCACTTCGCTCGCGCAGTGCGGGGTTGGAGGGGGGAGGGACCAGTCCTAGTGTGCAGGAAGCCACCTGCGCTTCGCTCGGACCTCACGCGCCCACGATCCTCGCGGCCTTCCTACCAGGATAAAACCATCCTCAGCCTAGGCCTCTGAGTTTGCAAACCTGGGGCCGGGGGTCCCTTGCAGGGGCCGTCGAGGCCCTCACCAGATCGCACATTACGAAATACGGAAACCCCACAGGACTGACAGTAGAGAGCGACATCTGACGGCAGCACATCGATTCCACCGGGGATGGCTACCAAGGGCGCTTGAACTACCGAGTGCCCATTGAACCACCAGGGGACTCCCGAGCTTTGGACGATACACTTGCCTAGAGGGGCAGGAGCGGGAGGCGGAGGGGGAGGAGCTGGAGCAGCATCCAGCACCCGCACCCCAGGCACTCCCGCGAAAGGCCTCCCCCAATGGTCCGAGCCTGCCTCCAGGAGATCATCCATGAGCCCAGGGTCGAAATCGAGAGTGACATCCGAGGTCCCAGCCACGCCCTGAGAATCAAGACACCCCGGATCCCCGAACACTAGCTGGGCCCTTGCACGCCACCAGACGGCAGTTACTTCAATACTCTCAAGACCTTGGATCAACGACATTTGTTGCCAGAGAGTGTTCCACAATAGAGCTCCTGCCACACCTCGTGATCCGTGCGAGCATTGGCCACAAATTGGTGACTCTTGACTTTGCTGACCGCAGCTCGGTGCCCAATCCTGCCCTGCCCCTACAAATCCCGTCAGAAGTGCTGCCGAGCTTGCATCAGAGAAAGGGCCATTCCTGGGTCATGCGCAGAAGGGACCGACGCCGAACAGTCATACTGCACATGCAAGGGATTGTCGGGACCCCACTCACAGTGGGTGACAAGGAACGCAAACGCCATGTCCTCACCGTCCCTGGTCTGCTGGAGGGGGGCCTGAGACAGGGGCACGATACCATACCAGGCATTGGTGACATTGCCAGCTCTGTCAATTTGGGCAATCGGGAAGCCTGCACGACTGAGCCCTGACAAGCTAGTGTGGTGCGCTGACCCATCCACATACACAGGTCCTGATAGTCGCCATTCAAGGGGAACGTTCCCCCACCAGACCTCAACATCAGGCTCGACCTGAGGGAAGCACCACATGGGGGAGGGACAGAGGCCACGGCAGAACACTTCACCATGCACTTCGTTCCGAACGTGAACCTTACGAGCGGCATCC